GTGTGGGCACGCATCCATGACTGAAGATTGAATATATACCCACCATCCAGCCGTTTTTTCGCCCGCTCACCGCGAGGACTTGGACACATCCCCCGTCGACTGTGGTGTTATCTCGAACGGGTAGTCTTTGTTTGATTGTATTTTTTTTTCATACTTATCACAGAACACCCACCTCCTTCCATAGAGAAGGGTCTGGGATAAATACATTGGTAATGAAAAGCTTTCTAACAATATGGTATTTTTTTTCTTTCTTTTTTTTTGTCCCTCCTCTTCTTTTTCCCCCACGTGTGCAGATGTTCGAGGAGTTGGCGGACTACCGCGCCTTCGAGCTCCTCCGTTCACACTCGGCCCGCAGCGACTACCTCCTCACCAAGCAGGCGAGGATCATCGCCATGACGTGCACGCACGCGGCCCTTATCCGACGGCGCCTGGTGGAGCTGGGGTTCAAGTACGACAACATGGTGATGGAGGAGAGCGCGCAGATTCTGGAGGTGGAGACGTTCATACCCATGATGCTCCAGGTGAGTTGCTGCTGCTGCTGCTGCTGTTTGCGTTGTTGTTGTTGATGGTGTATTATTGGTCTGCTGTGGCGTTAGGTGAACCGACGACTTCGGTGTTTGCCCTGGGTGTGTTGTCGCTGTTGCTGTCCTTGTTGACGTAATTTTGTTTGTATCCGGTCTTGCTGCAACAGGCATGCTTCCTTTTTACTGTCCTTCGTTATTAATGTTTCTTTATTTCGGCGTTATTTATATTTGTTCTGTGATTTTCCTTCCTTGATGTTCTTTTTTTCCCGCAATATGGTATGGTAGTCTTATTTTGTTCTTTCTACCGGCTCCTCTTGCTGTTTTTCGTTTTCACCCTCCGTTGTTCTTTTTTTACCTCAACTTATTTGGTAAATGCTGTTTTTCTTTCTCCCCGCTGCTTTGTTGTTGTTTTTGATTTCATCTTTCTTCTGCAGGACCTCGATCCCGTACTCGGGTGCCGGCTGAAGCGCGTGACTCTCATCGGTGACCACCACCAGCTTCCGCCCGTCGTCAAGTCCATGGCTTTCCAGAAGTACAGCAAGCTGGACCAGAGCCTCTTCACTCGCTTCGTACGCCTGGGCACGCCCACAGTACAGGTTAGGTGTCGCCGTTGTTGTTGATGATATGGTTTGGGCTTGTGTTGATATTTTGGTTGTTGTTGTTGTTTGCCGTTGTCGTCGCTTGTTTGCCGGGGGGAGAGAGATGGATAGAGAGAGATAAAGTTGAAGAGTGTGTGAGAGAGACAGACAGACAGACAGACAGACAGACAGACAGACAGACAGACAGACAGAGAAAGAGAGAGAGAGAGAGCGAGAGGGAGAGAAAGAAACAGAGAAGCATTCCCCACTCAGCTCCGCCTCCCCCCTTGATCGCTCTTGAAAGAGACGCGCGGGCGGTCAGCCAAGTCACGAACGAGTACACCCTCTCCCTCCCCTCTCCCCAAGCCCCCGACCCCTTCCACGGCCTCGATACGAAGGGGTATGATGTTGTTGACGTGTCCGCCGTGGGCCAAGTAGCGCTGTAGGAAAAGCATTCCCCACTCAGCTCCGCCTCCCCCCTTGATCGCTCTTGAAAGAGACGCGCGGGCGATCAGCCAAGTCACGAACGAGTACACCTTCTCCCTCCCCTCTCCCCAAGCCCCCGACCCCTTCCACGGCCTCGATACGAAGGGGTATGATGTTGTTGACGTGTCCGCCGTGGGCCAAGTAGCGCTGTAGGAAAAGCATTCCCCACTCAGCTCCGCCTCCCCCCTTGATCGCTCTTGAAAGAGACGCGCGGGAGGTCAGCCAAGTCACGAACGAGTACACCCTCTCCCTCCCCTCTCCCCAAGCCCCCACCCCCTTCCACGGCCTCGATACGAAGGGGTATGATGTTGTTGACGTGTCCGCCGTCGGCCAAGTAGCGCTGTCGGAAAAAGTAACAACGGAGTACCGAGGTAGCCCAACGGCTCGAAATTTGTCACCCGAGCCCCCCCCCCTTCCCCCCATCCCCCCACCCCTT